TGAATCCCAGACTAGAAGCTAAATGAGACAGTAGAGGTGGTCCCACTCCGTTAATAAGCAGACTTTTAGAAGCGAGGCTGCAGTTACTGAAGGAGCTATTTTTTTGGTTTGGTTTAGTTTCATCTGGACTGGTTCCCTGATTCCCTCTCTTCATAACCACCCAAATCCTAGGACCAGAAAATGAGATGAAGTGGGGGTGGGACAAGGAGAGTGAGGCTCTCCTCTTTGAAGCAATATGGATTTCTGTTGTGCAGAAGTGACCCGTAGAGCGACTGCAGCCTAAACCATCAATGCTCCTACAGAATCACTAAAGTGAAAACTACTTGTTTAAAGACTGATTTCTCATTTTAGGATTCTTGCTCAACTCAAAGCCAAATTTCAGATTTGCTCAGTAGTAAACAATGGAAGACGCAAATTCTGAACATCACTAAATACTGCTTCCACAGCATTTCATTTCAGCCTCCACAGAGGCTATACAAATGTGGACTTTCTAAGACTCCTTGCAGTTATTATATTTGGGTTTTTTTTTCTGAAACATGGCCTATCTGTACGCAGAGGAATCTGCCCCAACAGATTCCATGGTTTCAAGAGGTAGAAAAAAGTATTTCACTCTGTTGGGAAGCATGTGCCTTGATACAACACTCTAAAACTTACCTATTATTCCACATTAAAATTTTTTAACAAGCAAAGAAGTGGGCCAAATTAGTAATACTACAGCTTTTGCTCACATATATGCAAATCCAGTAACACTAAAAATAATTTCATATTATAATTACGCTTTGCCAAAACTGTGATAAATAACAGGACATTTAAAAAACCAAAATTGTACACAAATCGGTATGTATAACCATAAATCAGAATCATTTGCATGTTTTTCTGTTTCTCTTTTACTAATTCCATTCAGGATCATTTTAGTCCATTAATTTACCATATATATATACAGATTTGAAATTTTGTTCAGGCCAAGCTATGATGACTGTGCATGCACACGTGTACGTACACAAAAACCTGACCGTTAGAAAGAAATCAGGTTTGATTTACACAAGCTTTAACTTGTTTAACATTTCACCCAGCTGAGACTACAGAGAGTATCACTTTAGCTTTCATAACCCAGTATGGAGTTGTCATATTTATCCCTCTAATACCATGCGCAATGTATATGCATAATATAACTGTAATTTGAACATACTGTGCGTTTTTAGAGCGCTGTCTGCAATGCTTGACGGGAGCAGAGACTCCATAGTCATGCCTTCAAGCTGTGTTCTGTATTAACACATGTAGGGCATACGCAGTTTCACGACGATTTTCTTTTATTCTCTTCTCTATTTGTGACACTTCCAGGTGTGAAGAGAGGATGGACACAATGTCTCCATATCCCTTCTGTGACTGAGGCCACTGTCCTCTCACAGAACGGACCCTGAAGCTGACCCTCAGCTCCACACGTCTGGCTACCAGGAGACGCCACATGCCATCTGCGTGCCTGTAAGGGAGGCGGCTGGAGTTTAACTAACACACACCACTACAGCAGCCACATCATCCTTCTGACTCTATGCCCTAGGTCTAGGCCTGACCGCTCAACACCAGCACTGCTCTCCTCCCCAGTGACACAAGGTTACGTAAGTTAACCTTACGCCTTCCTCCCTCAGGGAACTGCTGCCAAGCAGCTTCAAACACACGGCTCCAAAGACACTCAGCAGAGGACTACAAGGAGGACGAGGGGACTGCAGCATCTGTCCTATGAGGAAAGGCTGAGAGAGCTGGGCTTGTTCAGCGTGGAGAAGGCTGAGAGGGGATCTTATAAATGCTAAGCAATATCTTAAGGGTGGGTGTCAGGAAGATGAAGCCAGACACTTTTCAGTGGTATCCAGCGACAGGACAAGGGGCAATGGGCACAAACTGAAGCATAAGAAGTTCCAGCTGAGCACAAAGAAGAACTTCTTCACTCTGAGGGTGATGGAGCACTGGAACAGGCTGCCCAAGGAGGTTGTGGAGTCTCCTTCTCTGGAGATATTCAAGACCTGCCTGGACAAGGTCCTGTGCAGCCTGCTGTAGGTGACCCTGCTTCGACACGGGGGTTGGACTAGATGACCCACAGAGCTCCCTTCCAACCCCGAACATTCTGATTCTGTGATTCTATATCCAAGGACATGTGCCATACGCAGCTCTCTCTGAGGGATAAGACACTGCCTCATCCCTGCGACCCCTGGACCGCCCGCCCGCCCGCCTGCCCGCCCGGCACAGAG